CCATGGAGACCATGTGTGTTACCATTTTTGGTAAATCCTGCTTCATCCGTGAAAAGAAAACTTTTTTTTACAAACGTAGGTACCTAAAATTATGAAGGAATTCAATAATATTACTTTAATAAATAAAATTGTTTACCATTCTCTTCTTATTATTCGAAATCAGAAGACATTTTAACGAATTGACCAACGTCTTAGAGAGAATGGTGGACAATTTCAGTTATTAAAGTAATATTATTGACTTTCTTCATAATTTTAGGTAAGTTTGAAAAATATTTTAAATGCTGTAGATGACACTCCTTCAACGAGCACTCGAAAATTATCAGCACAGTTTAATTCGTCGAAAACAATAGTGCATGATGTTCTTTAAGAACAACTGTTATATCCTTATCATATGACAAAAGTGCATAAACTTATTTCTGAAGATTTTCCTTGTAGAATGCAGTTTGCAAACTGGCTATTGGATCAGCAACAAAATAATGTAAACTTCATTAGCAATACTCTTTCCAGCCCTTACCACTTGAAACCCGCCTAAACATGTACTTCTTGCACGATGGGGCACCACCTCATTTCAACGTTGCTGTGCGGGAGCACTTGAATAACGTTTATCCAAACCGTTGGATAGGTAGAAGAGGAACCATTGACTGGCCTCCTCGATTTCCCGACCTTAGGCTGATGGATTTTTTCCTGTGGGGGTACCTAAAAAAACTTGGTGTATTCCACTCCGATAGAGGAACTTCTACAGATAATCACGTTTTATTGTGATATGATAAGAAACAATTCTGGGTTATTCTGGCGGGTACAGCAGTCCTCAATTCGTCGTGCCCGCGAATGTATCAGAGTTCACGGAACCCATGTTGAACCCTCTTATAAAGTTTTTAATTAATTGTTTCGAATTATCGTCCTTCAATTTAAGGTTTGCAACAATACGTTATATTATTTTTTTATGGTCCTTTTTATTAAAAAATAAAACATGAATTTGTTTATTATTCTTTTTCTCGAAAACGGTTCATTTTATTGACAATAAACAAGAGTACCTTTATTTTAGTTTAAGGTTCAAGCTATGCAGATTTAGTTTTTTTAAGTCTTTGTCATACGGGGTGTTCAAAATTTAAGCATTAAAAAGTAAAACTTAGTCCGCCCCTGGTAAACAAAAAAAGCAAAACATGTTTCAATGACACTATTTTAAGAGGTCCTTACCAGGGTCCATCATATTAAATTTTTATTAAATTATATTTAGTACTTTAAAAGTTATTCAACGAAAACCAATTTGCAGGGGAGTCCTTTCGGGGCCCATGTCTCCGTAAGGATGGCCAGTAGGAAAAAAATTTATAGGAACGTGTCATCTTATTTTTTCATGTTCTATCTAAATCCGAGAGATTTCCCACATTTTCCCGGACACCCTGTATATAATATTATACTTAAAGTAGTATTTTGTATGGTATACTAATTTATTTAATTAATGCAAAAGCTTGTAAGTTTTCCTAAAGTGGCAGCAAGCATTACGAAAGTTGAAGAATTGTCTAATATTCTGACTGTGTTTGTTTCCATTTTTTACAAAAACTTGTTGTTTCCCTGGGTTACCAGGTCCTGGCAAAGCAATCCTTATTTCCTTTATTTTTGTAGAAATATTGGTTTATTACATCATCATAAACTTCTGCCCTGGTTCTTTCTATTTTTCAGCATTCTTTTGAGATAACTCAATTTTTGTATCAGGAAAGATTTTAGCCAGTCGTTCTCAGGAACGTTTTCTTTAAAGCAACTAATTATTACTCCTTTGTAGTTTAGATATGACTGCACTCTTTTGTTTCTTGTTTTGGAAAAGATAATACATTATCCGCAGCTGTAATCATTACATTTGTTAAATGCCTTTCTTTGATTTTACTTAAGGCAGAAGGCCTTCCAAACACATCAGAATACTTTCCTCTATATTTGCTGTAAAAAGTGGTTTTGGGAATAACAAAGAGGGTAGCAACCTGTCCAAAGGATAAATAATTGTTTATCACCTTTGCCGGGGTGATATTCAATATTTTCTAGGTCATAATTTCTACAACGTTTCAGGGGTTTCCGGGTATCGTTAGATATAACAATAACAATATATATATAAAAATCCATGCTAAAAAGCAACCTTTTTAAAAAAAGAATTGGGAAAACATATTGTTTAAGGTGATTGTTTAGGTTATGTATAATAAATAAATTTATTGTGCCTATAGGCCATGCATGCCATGTGTATTTGCCTTTTATGCATATTTGCCATCTTTATCGAATAAAAATTACCTTATATTTCAACTATATATTTCCAAAAAAACATTAGGCAGGATTTGCACAAAATATTAAAATAAACACTTTTCGTGATAGACCTGTTGTTCCACATATCGCCAAACTACGACAGTAAAATTTTATTTTATTGAAAATATTGACAAAGAAGACGTAAAATTTTTTCCAGGTAAAGCTTAATTTTCATGTATCCCTCTGTCCGTCAGTCCGTTCATCCGCGAGCGCTCTTATTGGTCCAATTATAATTCAAAAATTATGACATTTTTTCCGTCCGTCAAGTTTTAACTTCGTACGTCTGACGGAGAAATTTAAAATAATTTTAACTAATCTGTCACTACACATCTGTTTTTGACGCCTAACGTTATTTTAAGATACTTTATTTTCAAATCTTTTAATATTCTTTTAATAAGATTGTAAAACGGAAATATAACGTTCGTTATGTGAATAATGTTCTACTTTTATGTTTTTATTTAATAATAATAACAGAAAAAAAGAAAAGAACAATAAAATATTAAAACCAGAACTAAAAGGACCTGCTTTTTTAAAACTATACATTTTAATGTAAATTAAGGCTAGTATATTCTTTTTATATGGTATATAAATTTACCTATAGGTATACCTTTATATTTATTAGACAACTAACTGTTAAATTTACAATTGTTGACATAATTGTAACTATGACAATTAAGCATTAGGTAAATTTAGTAAAGTGAATATACTGACCCTTAATTTTTATTTGTCGCCAAGTCAATCCGTTAAAGATCATTAAAAAACGGATGCATGAAAATTAGAACATTTCGGATTATCGGACGATTTAATTGAAAAACGTACAAACGTATAACGGACAAACGGATACATGAAAATTAAGCTTAAGACATTCGTCAATGATTGACAAGTGACAATTTCTGTCATTCTCAAGAAATTTGTCTCCTTGTTATTTTCAATGATAAAATGGTAAAACACTTAGATTGTATTTCCAATGTTATAAAAAATTGAAAATACGTGGGTATACAATAATCCCAAGTATTTCGAACGTTTTATAATACACAAATCCCACGTATTTCCAACGTTTTATAATACATAAATCCCACATATTTACAACGTTGTATAATAGTATTAGTATTATTAATACACAAATCCCAGGTATTCCCAACGTTTTATCCCTGTTAAAAATCACCCATAGAGACCAATAGAAACCAATAAAAAATCAGAATGGAATGAATTGGTCTTTATTGGGCCTATTGGTTTCTCAACAGAATGAGCATTGGTTTCTATTGGTAATTTCCGTACTGGAAAATGCCAATAGATTACCTAATGGTCTGAATTGGTTTTTATAAGAAGTTACAAGCACAGGAAATTCCCAATTGAAATTCAATTGGTAAATACCACTTAAATGTTCAGCGCCTGCGCAATTTAATACAAATGACCACTTGTTTCTATTGGCAATTTTCTTACTGGAAAATACCAATAGATAAACTAATGGTCTGAATTGGTATTTTATCGGTGTGTAGGTACAAGGAACCCTATTGGTATATACCACTTTAATATTTATTTTCAAAATTCGCCAATAGGTAGGCAACCCATGCATACCTCTCGCCTCTGTAGCACAATACATAGGCCTATAAAGGTGGAATGCCTTGAGCTGCTAAGCAAGGATTCCTTACTAAGGCAAAATTACTGGCCATGAAAACGCTTGGCGTTGTCGAATTTTTAAAGGGGCACAGGTCGTCCTGTGGCCCACTCTGCGAAAAGTAAGCAGTGGGCCCCACTACTTACTTTTAGCAGAAGCTATTTATAAAATTTAAATTAAATGTTAAACAGCACTATTTTTGAGAAATTATTTAACCATCAAAACACGTAATTTTTTACCTTAAAGACGTTTAAAATGGATAGTGGGGACCAATTCAAACCAATAGCGGTACCTCTCGAAAATCCAAATAGCTTTTCTATTGGGAATTACCATTAACATTTAATTCACCTCTATCATTCTCTATTGGGAAATTCGATTAGTCTCTATCGGTCTGTATTGTGATTTTCCAGCGGTGTCGCTATTGGTTTGAATTGGTGATTCATGGTACAGATACCACTATTGAGACCAATTCAAACCAATAGAGCTACCGCTGGAAAATCCCAATAGCTTTTCTATTGGTCTTTATGGGTGATTTTTAACAGGGATAACACATACATCCCACGTATTTAAAACCTTTTATAATACGTAAATCCGACTTTTTTTATCACATTAGAAACTAACGTTATAAACCGGGACATTTCAACATTAAATTATTCACAAAAGTAAGATTTTTCTAACGTAAAAAAAAACCGTTGTTTTTACGTAAAAAAGTTAATTTAATTTTTACAATGGTGAAAACTTTTACTAACAACAATCAGTTGCGATCGTGTTAGCAGTTAAAATAGCTGTGTTAAGCAAATATCGCAGTTTAGGTCATCACTATTATACAGTAATTTATGCTACAAAATAATAGGTAATGGATTATTTTTTTAAATTTACTTTTACGTTTAATTCTTTTTTTTATTTTGGAAAATGTGAGTTTTGTATCTATACGGCTCGAGCCATATATATTCAAACTTTAAAAAAAGGTATTTGATGCCCATCTAAATCAATTCGCTATCAATTAAAAAAAAAAGTTGGCCGATCTCTCCTAATAAAGACACTGTATATATATTAAAATTTTAATATGATTCTAAACAAATATTTATCTTTTTAGAATGAAAATATTTTAGTAATACACGATGAAGCTGGCTATAATCTACTTCAAAAGTGTGTTGGTGCTAACAATGTGGACCTAGTGAGGTGGCTTCTTTCCAGACACACTGCCGCGGACATTAATCGATTTCCATGTAGTCTTCCACTTCATATAGCCTGTTTAAAAGGGTTTGTATAATAATCTTGAACCCAAGGGGAAATTTGTTTGTCACCTTGACAGTAATCATTAAAAAAGGCAGCGGTTTATTTTAATATTATAACTCGATACGCTTTCGGGATCATAGAATAAATTTTGACAATACGCTCAATCGTTTTGTTTAGAAGGTTTTTAGCACGATATTTGGTAACGATGACAAAATACATTTTCTTATCGTGACCATAATGAAACAATGCAAGGTAGTAGAGTCCACTAATAAGACACCCAAACAGCCAAGTACCAAACTTAATTTTAGCCAATCAGCATAAAACTCTTGCTATATCTCAATATTTGGGCATTAGTGGTAAAAGCCATATGTGACTTTCAATTTGATATTTGCTCTATTAACAATATTTTGTAGTGTTTAACTTTGGATTATTATTGCATTATTCTTTGTACATATCTACCTAGCGTTATTATTTCAAATACGTTCAAATAGTTATGTTTAAAAAACATACTTTAAAAAATGGTAATTTATTGTATTTATTATTTTTTTAATGGTAGATAGAAACTTAGTTAATATATTCCAATCATAACAAAATGTTTACGTTATGTTATCATATATAAATATATATGTCTCAATAGAAACGCCGGACTTAATATGTTAAATCTATACCTTAAAAATTTGGAAATAATTCTCCCTCTTTTAATGGAATTTTTTTATAACATCCTTGCATATGTGCTGCTGAATTTCGCCAATAACGCGTCGAATATCGTCTTTAAGTTGATGAATTGTTGCTGGTTTGTTGACCCAAATTCTGCAATTTTATTTGGTGACATAGCCAATGAGATGAAAGTGCGCTTCATCGCTAAAACAAAATTGTCTTTGCAAATTCAACACCTTCTTGCCATGCCAAAATCAAATTAGGTTAGGGTAGGCTAGGTAGGTTACAGTTGGTATAATTTTGGGAATTTTGGGAATGTTTGGGCGTAATGAAATATTTGTTACGTTTAAAAAGAAACTTTAAAGCTTTAAAGAAACATGTCTTGTTTATATTGACATCTAATAATTAACTGTTGTTTAATTTAATTTATTAAACCTTATTTTTTGGAAATTGTTGTATTTAGTACACACAATTTAAAGTTTTTAACATTTATTAACTGCATGATGATAAATAACTTGTAAACAATCATGTTTTGACGCTTTTTTGCACATATAACAAATTCCAATTTAAATGTATACCTACACATAAAGTTTACAATTTGATTTAACCCAGAGAGTGCTGTTATCAGCTGTTTAACCCAAATCTTGTTTTATTTACATTCTTGCTAATGCGCATAACTGAACAATTGGTTGCCAAACTTCTAGCAATCTGCATTAAAAACATTTTCCCAATTTTAGACCAATCTTTATTACAAACGAAGTTGACCAAAAATAACTATATTTAAGTCTTTATTTTTATGCAGTTTTTGAGCTATCGCGTTGGAAAATGAATGCCATAAAATATTTTAATTTTTGGTCAAACGTGACTAGATTAACAACTTAAATGTCCAAATACACGCCAATATATTGTAAAATATTATACGCCAAACTTAGTTAGGCCAAAGTTGACTAACTTCTTTCCCAAACCTTGGTTCTCTGGGTTGCATATAAATTGTTTTACAACATAATATAGTTTAGCAATGATGAACAATTATGTTAAACTGTGTCCAACCAAAATTATCAATTTACCTGTGACGCAGCAAAACGGAATTCAAAAACGTCTCTACGAGACGAGAATAACAGGTTAATAATTTTGGTTGAACCAGTCAGACAATCATACTAAAACTTTGTAAATATCTTATTGGTGAACTCTACTATAACCTAGAATTGGTTTTCGAGTAAAGATATTAAGTTATTACTTGACTACATCTATAAATTTTTATTATGATTATTTCCCTCATTATAATATGAACCAATCAAAAGCCTTGAATTTTTGAATAAATTTCGTTTAAATAAGCGATTAAATCACTAGAACAGCGATTAAATTTTAGCCTCCATATTGGATTTTTGTTTTAACAAACATTTTTTAAAAAACAATAAAAAATAAGTTATCTAGTTTACGAAATATCAATTATTACTTATTACATACCTACCTTAAATTATTGGAATTTTCTTTAAAAAAATATTTATAAATTTTGACACATACATCAGATTTTATAAATTGTCAAATAGTTTTATAAATTGTCAAATAGTTTCCTTTAATTCGAGAAATAATCTAGACGTATATCACTCAACCTATAAATTTAATCTGTCAAACTATGCTAAGTAAGTTTTTTATTTGATTTTTCTTTTTGGAAAATAGTTTCATGCAAAATAATTAAAAATAAAACCCCTCGACCGCTACGCGGTCTCGTGATTTTATTAAATTATTTTGCATTCAACATTTTGCAAGAAAAACCAAACAAAAAACTACTGAGCCTAGTTTAACCGATTAAATTCATAGTTCTCGTGATATAATATATGATTTAATATTGTGCCCGAACCTTCTTTTCAATTTTTTAAAATTAAATAATTAAGAAATTAATTAACAATTAAAGGTGTTTAAATTTATTATTTTTAGTATTATTTAAATAGAAGTATCAAGCCTGATTATAGATTGCCTTCCTTCCTTCCTCCCTCCCTTCCTCACGTAAAAGATGAACAAATCAAAAACCGTTGTGCTGTTTATAGATTCCCGTACGATTTTCATATTGTTCATCTTTTACGGGAGGAAGGAAGGAAGGAAGGCAATCTACAAATACAACATTTTTATTTTTAGACATGACGACTGTGTTGAATTATTGTTAAAGCATGGAGCCAAAGCAGATGTTGAAGCTAGAATGTGTTGGCCAGGTCCTCACAGTAATAATTGCGAGGAAAGCGGGAAATTTAGTAAGTTGATTTGAACTTATAAATTAAGTATACATTTTTACTTATCGGCCATTCCAAGCCCATGGACAGGACACATCAGAAACATGTCTAAATATATTCTTGTTACTTCCTTAAGTTTACTTATTTTTTCTACCAGTATTTATGAGAAGTATTAGCCAAATTTGGGTAATACTTCTCATAAATACTCGTAGAAAAAATAAGTAAACTTAAGGAAGTAACAAGAATATATTTAGACATGTTTCTGATGTGTCCTGTCCATGGGCTTGGAATGGCCGTTATATAACCATGGTTATCTTTCCTAAGATCCGCTACTTGTAAATACATTTTTACAGTGACTTAAATTTACTATGCAAAAGATTTTTAAACATTTTGCATTAATTATACAATCAAAGTATGCATATTAGTATATTATGTATCAAGTTTGATAAACGCCATTTTATACACGAATTTAATTTAGGCACGAGCGAGCTTGCGAGCGAGTTCTTAAATTAATGAGTTTATAGAAAAGTTTATAAACGAGGTGCATACTATACTTTTTCTACGACAAATACTTATTATTATCTTAAAATGATTTAAATCAAAAATTTGTATAGAGCGCCATCTATGAAACAATAGGGGAATCTGTGTGTCACCGTCAAATGTCAATTTTTTTTATTTTATAAACACAGATTATAAAGGTTATAAATCGAAATTCATTTCTTGTAAATTGACAGTTTTTCACAGTGAAAGTAAAGAAAATGTTTTATGAGCACTTTACAGTGGAGCCCGTGTCCGAATTTAAGTTATAGTTTAAGTACTGCCGGCGAAATTAAAAGGTCAGTGCAATGTTCATATAAACTTTTCAAATATTGGCGTTGAGAAACTATTTAATACTTTTGTATTTTTGTATTGAGATAATAAAATAATTTTCACATTTAGTATTATTTTACAAGAAAGGCATTTTTTTAACCATTGTATGACATTTGACAACTGTCAACTAAATTAAAACTAACTTCAGCCCGTGACTAAAAACCTGTTGCTAACTTCAGCCCGTGACTAAAGCGCCATAAAGCCACAACTTGTCAATGTGTATTTAAAAGGTCACTTAAGGTCATGGAAACATGTACGATAAAGGGCGTTTTAAAGGTGGGAGTAGAAAAAATATATTAAAAATAGTATATATATTTTTTACTTAAATTTCGCATAAACAGTATCAGAATGAATATATTTTATTATTTTGGCTTAGAGAAGCGATAGCCCCCACTGTATGCGCCTCCGAATTTAATTTTTTTAAAGCAACCAATCGAACCAAAGTTGTTACTAAATTAAAATAAGGTTTCGTATTTACATTAAAATTACCCTTTTAAAAATTTTAATTATAAAATTTACAATTTTTGTATAGGTTAGTGTAAATGTAATAACAAAACCTTATTTTAATTTATAATAACTAATATTAAAACAACAAAAAATATGAAACAAAATTAAAACAATTACCTATATTATGTAAAGTACGTAAATGAGATACATTTATTGGGTACTTAAAATTGGACTAATTACGTGGTACTACTGAGCTTCTTGTTTTTGACATGAATCAGAAATTTATATTTTACGATGTGTTGCAATAAATACAGGTGGATAAAATTGACACAATCTCTTAAATAAATTACATAACATAAAATAAAATTACCAAAAAGAAAATTGCTTGAATATTTTTTCTTCCTGCACTATGCTAAAGTTAAACTTTACCTTCATTTCATTTTACATTTATTTATTTCTAATTTTATTACACCACGCATTTTTAAATTTTTAACCAAAAATAAAGATTTCAGGGAAATTTGTACACGAAAAAGTTTCGGAGAAAAAACGAATTATTTAAATCATTTCAGAAAACGAGTGTTTTTTTAGTTTTGCAGCGATAAAACTACTATTTAGGTGACTATTTCCCTCGTTTTAATTTCCACCAATCACAAACGCGCAATTTTGAATTAGAAATGGTGAATAAACTGTGTGACAGCACCTGTCAGCAGTTTTTTCGAGTTTACCCGCGGCCACGGTCTTATATAAGACCGTGCCCACGGCAAAACTTGACAGCTGTTGTCACCAAAAATTGCAATTTATATTTTAATTAAAATAGTCTTGTCAAATACCATTCGGGGATCTAATTTTTCCTGTGAAAAAAATCGAAAAAACACAATGCTAAGTAATATTTTTTAACAAAATGCATTCGTGCAGGTGCAAAAATCCTCCTATTCGACTCGAATTTTTGTTGCCACCAGCACTCATGCTTCTTGTTAAAATATTACTTAGCAACGTGTTTTTTCGGAAAAATTAGATGCCCTTATGATATTACTTACGAAAAAACTACAATTTTATTTAATGTGACGGTCAGGGCAAAAAGTCCCGAGGCTCATGGAATACCCTATTTAGTTTTTTCATTTAAAAAATAAAATTTGTTATCATTTACCTTTTAATCCTTTTTAATAATGCGATATCCCTATTGTAAATGACCAATAGAATCCAATAAAAAATAAGTAATTGGTTTGAATTGGTTTGAAATGTGTTTTGGCGCTATGAATCACCAATTCATTCCGGTTGAATTCCTATTGGTAATTTCCAATGAAGTCAGCGGCTTCAATTGGAAAATACCAATCCATGCCTATGCTTGTCTCTATTGGCTAAATCCAATAGAAATGCAAATGAAATGAATTGGTAATGCATAGCGCCAAACCCATTCCAACCAATTAAAACCAATTAATTTTTTAAAATTTGGATTAGAAAATAACTACCAGTTTATTTTTCATTCAAAAATAATTTTAGATCCCAGAAGGATAACCGGGTAAAAACCAGTATTCATTTTTCACAGAATAACTACCAGTTTATTTTTCATTCAAAAATAATTTTAGATCCCAGAAGGATAACCGGGTAAAAACCAGAATTCATTTTTCACAGAAGAGACAAAATATTTATTGTTACTGAGTAATTTTATTTCTTTATTATTTTTTTTTGTAATATATATATATATATTAGGGTGGTCCAAAAAAGTGAAGTTGATTTTACAGATTGTCTCACCCCCCAATTTTTTTACCTCCAACATCAATAAAAAATTCCCAAAATTTTAGGCCCCTAGGTGTATTAGAAGGGAGTGCTCATTAGCTAAGAGATTTCAGTTTTTTTTAAATTTATTTAAAAAAAACATTACGCCATCTTCTTACTGGTTAGATAAAATGTTATGCCCTATATATTAATGTTACAATTACCAAAGAATATTATTTACCTAAACATATATTTCTTACACACTAGTTCAATCAGCTAATCCCGCACCTTTCCCTAAGAAACTAAAAACTACACTTTACAGTTTAAATGTCATAAGTGCTTTGGATAGGGAAAATGTCTCAGACCGTGAAGTTCTAAGGCTTATAGTACAGATTGCGATAGCACTGGGAAAAGATCCGCATGAAATGCCGTCTCGCAGCACTATTTGCCGGAGACGAAAACATGAAAGGAAGAAAAGATATGAAACAAAGTTTTTCTTGTCAAGGTTTAGTTTTTGTTCATTGGGATGGTAAAATTCTTCCTGATCACTGCTTAACTAAAGTAGAACATTTATCAGTAGTAGTTTCAGCAGATGGAATAGAAAAGTTATTAGGAGTACAGCAAATGAAGTCGGAAACGTACTTCGAGAATGGAATCTGGTGGATAAAGTATAAGGAATGTGTTTTGACACAACATCTGTAAATACTGGAATGAAGAATGGATGCTGCGTTTTGCTTGAGAAAAAATTGGGAGATACTTACTTTGGTTAGTCTGCAGTCATCATGTTTTGGAAATAATTCTTAGTAAGGTTTTCAAGTTGTGCTGCTTTCCGGATATTCCAATTTTTAATCGATTTAAAATAATTTGGGTACCTATTGATCGTATCTGCTTCAAGTCCTCAGACCTAGAATCGTCGAAGAATTTTGAATTTTACAAAAACTCCCCAATCCCCTTGTTGCTAGCTGCATTGAAACAAAAGTCTCAACGTTATGACGACTACTTGGAACTGATCGAGTTGGCTTTGGTCGTTTTGGTGAAATCTGGATCAAGGCACCGTGTGCCACTAAAGCTACTATGTCCGACCTAACTTTTTGGAAAGATTTAGAACGCTATGAGGAGATTGGGAAAAGCGAGGTTGCTAGAGAATCTCTGAAACATCATCTTTGGTACTTATCCAATGAACTCGTAATAATTTTAATACCAACAATAATAATAATAATAATAATCATAATATTAATATGGCCTTTGTCTACGCAATAAGTTATTTCTTACTTATATTTTTTCAAGGTCGACTGTGTGTTGTAAACTTCGAGTTGTAAATGATATAGCGGAAAGATGGGTAAAACTATTTGAAGAGCATAATCAATTATAAAAAATGAGGACGAAAAGCAAGACTTGTTACAAATCGTAGAAACGAATCGGAAATCTGTTCCGACAGAAACCACAAAAAAGCTGCAATTTATGCTACTAAGAGTTCTGGACCATGATTTTCATGTGGATATATTGTCTTCAGATTCATTCTATCATAGCTGTGAGCACTCCCTTCTAATTAAGCTAGAGGGTTCAAATTTTCTAAAATAACTTTTTTTACTTTATATAAAAAAATTAGAGGGTGAGAATAAGTCTATTTACAACTTCACTTTTTTAATTCGTTTCTGGACCACCCTAATATATATATATATATATATATATATATATAATATATATTATATATATATGTATGTATTGATACATATAACTTACTATCACAAAAAAGTAATACAAAATAAATAAAATTACTCGGTTATAATCATTTTTTTGTCTTTCTTGCAAAGGATGTTTGTAGGCATGGTCGAAGTCGATATTGTTTATGTCAAATTTTTTTATTTTGTCCGTTGTGACATTCTTACGCCATCGTCCCTTAACCTTACACATATAAACATTTTTTTTAATATATAAGTACACTACTAACACTAGGCACTTAACACTGAAATCGACTAATCCACACAACAAGGTCTGTTCGATCTCGTAATAAAATTACTAAAAATCACTGCAACACTGCACATAATTTAATGGCGGCCATTTTTGTTGTTTACAATTCTTGTGCTTTGGGTTTGTACAGATTAATAATCGTTTTAAACGTTGTGTTTCTAATAGAGGCACTTGCAAGCTTTAAAGGAGACCTTAAAGTGGTAAGAAGAATCATTTTACTCATCTTTTGTAAAAAATAAACCTTATTCTATCAGGGCTGTCAAATGTCAATTTTAAGGTTATTTTATAACCCACAAATTAACAGCCCTGATAGAATAAGGTTTATTTTTTTCAAAAGAGAAGTAAAATGATTGTTCTTACCAGTTTGGTCTATTTTAAGGCTTGCAAGTCTCTCTGTAAGAAACACAACGTTTAAAATGATTATTAATCTGTTCAAACCCAAAGCACAAGAATTGTAAACAACAAAAATGCCCGCCATTAAATGATGTGCAGTGTTGCAGGGATTTTTCGTATTTTTAGTACGAGATCGAACAGACCTTGTTGTGTGGATTGTGCTACCGATGACTTTGTATGGAGTATATTTTTGACAAAAAACGTCCAAAATAGATTTAAGGCAAAATAATTTAATAAATAATCAAAATATTAACAAAAAACTTAAATTTTAAGATAATTGGGCAGAGCATTTTATTAGGCAATTATTTCGAATCCTAGAGCAAAACGCCCACCTATATAGTTGGGCGTGCTCAATGTTAGTAAATCGAACTATCATAGTGTAATTATAATTAGGTATTAATTATGAAAAAGTAATTAATTCATGATTACTAATTACACTATGCTTGATACTATGCTTGGTACTATACTGTACTGTATACTGCACCAAACATCGCCGCAATTTATGATTAAAGCAAGATAAAAAACCTCAAATATTGGCTAACAGCACTTCTTCGGCAAGCGTTCGTAAACATAGAATTTCAAACATCATGTTTGTTTACCAAACCAAATTTTGTAAACGGAATAGCCAATTAGACACCGATGATGTTTATAAACAAGTTTAAGAAATTCTTTGAGCGCATGCGTCTATAGACGAAATAATTGAAAGGAAATAGGCACATGTATGTAGTTCATAAACATGCATGTTCAATGAAAGCAAATAGGCCTCTAAGTCTTCGTAGTTTAGCCCAAAGATAATACCTCTTTTCATCAGCGCCACCTGGTGTGTTTGACTCAATAGTGGAGTCACTTTTCCTGTTAAAATTTGGCTAAGTTGCAAGACCTGTATATAAGACCGTGTTACTGACAAATGAGACCGTTACTAGGGTTATGTTAGAAAATGGTTGAACAAAATTAGAATATGTCAACTCGACATAAGTAATATTTTCCTAAAAATATATTTTCTTTGTAAATTTTTGTAATATCCAGGGGTTTAGTCAAAATTTTAGTCAATTAAAAAAATGTATAAATCTAAATTAAAAACTTTTTACCATTCAAAGTCAGAGGTATTTTGGGTAATGGGTACTCCTGATTGTGGAAAAAGCTTGTTATCTACATATTTAGCCAAATACATGAAATATTTTATAATAAGACTATCCAGATTAGTAAAAAAGGCTTCCACAAAAAAAGGCGACCGAGCTAAAGTTCTGGAAAAAATGATAAGTGATCAAAAACCAGTTCCCGACAACATACTAATGGATTTAATAGTCGAAGAAATATTTAAGAACCACGCTATTGGATACGTGATCGATGGATTTCCTTGGACTATACATCAGGCCAATATTTTTAAAAGTTTTATTTGTAAACCAACATTAATCATATACATGGATATTAGTTTAGATGGCATTCTAGCAAGAATGATCGCTTTATTTGGCCCCGTGAATCTTAACGAAATACGAAATAAATATATAAAATCAAAAAAACACTTAAATCAAGTTTATAGAAAGTTCTCAAGCCTGACCATATTGTTGCCTTCCAAATACCCGGCAGTGGAGGCGTTTAACAATTTGTTAGATGAATTAGATTTGTTTAGGGGTTCAAAATTAAACATTTAAAAAATTACTTACCTACACGTTTTATATTTAAATTATTATATTGCAGCTCCCGCCGTCCAACAAGAGGAAATCTGCATTGAAAAGCTAGAGACTAGGCTAGAGCCAACCAAACCATTTAGTAAACTTCAATCTGCCATTTATTATGCTTTAGACGGAGACCAGGTCAACATTTTAACATTGCTCTCGCAAAAAAGCGAAGATCCTTGGGTAAGAAATGCTTATTAAATAATTCCTTATAGAAATTTACTAAATACTGATATGACACAAATTTTGAGACTTTGCTTTTTTTGGTCTCACCCCTTAGAAGTTATCTATAGGTTAAAAAATAAATTCTGCACAAATTGGGGTAATTACGTTGATAGTGCCGCCGAAAAATAAAATGTAAAATGTTTTATGATCTTTATTATAATAACATAAATGCAACTACGTTATGGAAATAAATTTATAGAATTTTTGCTTAATTTTTATTAATTTCATTTAAAATGTTTTAACAATTGTTTATTTAGGTAGTTACATTCATACATTATTTCCGATATTAGCATCATTTTGCCTGTTACATTTTAAATCAATTCTTAATGCTTTATTTTGAAGTTTTTGTAATTTTTGCATTTCATTATAATATATTAATATAAATAATTATTTATACAGAACAACACAGTTGAACAATAATCAAAATGTGGAGCTATAATGGCTTTATATTTACAACAATAATTTCACTTGCAATGATCGATTTTTTCCCATTCTACCAGGGAAATATTCTTTTTATGAAATTTTATTTAACAAATACTTAACATGATTGTTAAAATTTAAATTTGAATCAAAAACAACACCCAGATACTTTATTTTATCCACTTTTTCAACTTTTATATTATTAGTAAATATGTTTACATTAGCAAAATCTATATTAACAGTTTTATGACTAGATGAAATACACACATATTTGGTTTCACTTAGATTTAGACACTTAATTTTTATCACAAATCCATTTATAAATATTTTATAATTCCAAATTTATAACATTTACCATATCAAAAATATTATCACCACTAACATAAATCATAGTATCATCTGCAAACATAGAAATATCACAATCTTTGGCATATCATTTATAAACAATAAAAATAATAGAGGTTCCAAAACAGTACCCTGAGGTACTCCATAATGGTTTTCAACTTTATCTGACATTACATTATTAATTTTAACAATTTGAGATCTATTGGTTAGATATGAACCAAACCATTTTAAAACAACATCTGTAAAACCTATTTTATTAAGCTTTTTAAGCAATAATTCCCTATTTGCAGTTTCGAAAGCTCGCTTTAAGTCCAAGATAACAGAAATAATAATTTTACCCTTATCAATTTCTTTAACAAATTTGGCATAAACATCCAAGACAACAGATTCACAACTGTGATTTTTTCTAAACCCTAAATGATCCTTTACAATTACACTATTATTTACAGAATATTAATCTGCTTTTTTACACATACTTCCAATACTTTTTCGTACTGCGCTACTGAGTTGATTGGACGATATTCATTACACAAAATTGTTCCACTAATTTTTGGTACTGGTACTACGATGGAAGTCTTCCATTCCTCTGGGAATACTCCAGTTTGGAGCGAAGTGTTAACTATTAGTTTAATACCCCTTTCTGCAGTATCGTTAAAAACTTTAATTTTTTAAAGATATTTAAATTGTTTTTAATAGGGATGTCAATATTTTTGAAAGATCGATATTCATAATCGATTAAAATGAAAGCTTACTTCGATTAAGAAATTATTACAAGGGATTCTGATGGTAAGAGAAATTGGGAAAATTATACTTATTCAGGAAGTATTATGCTTTATTTACCCTGCTGAAAATTACGGATGATTGCGGATATAAATTCTTCGTCAAAGCCGGATAAAAGCAGATAAAAGCTGGTAAACCAGTCTGCAGTTTGAGGAAGTGATACAAGAAATCACGGACAGGAATCGTAGGAAACTAAATATTATATTATATAATATTACCGAGCAAACATCTGATAACAGTACCGAAAGACAAAGATCAGATAAAACCAACGTAAATGAAGTAATTAAATTCTTAAAACCTAATGCGAATTTGGAATTTACCAACCCTATAAGGCTAGGCAAATTCGACCCAAATAGGCCAACTCCTAGACCCATAAAAATACGACTTAATACCGAAGAACTGGTTATTGAACTTTTGAAGAAATCGTCAAATCTAAAAAATAATAATAACTTATCACACGTTATTATTGCACATGATAGAACACCTCGCCAAATAGAATACTACAAATCTTTAAAATCTGACCTTGAAACCAGAACAACCAATGGAGAAACGAATTTGAGCATCAAATATATTAGAGGTATACCCAACATTGTTTCTTTAAACGCCTAATGCCCAACAGTTGCGAAAATAATAAAGTAGACTATGAGCTACTAATATATTACCAAAATATTAGGAGTCTAAATAACAAAATTGATGATTTTTTTTCTTCTGTGTGTGATTGTGAATTTGACTTTATATGTATCTCCGAAACTTGGCTTAAACAGGATATAACTAACAGTGAAATATTTTCCAGTGATTATAATGTTTTTAGATGTGATCGCAATCTGAGCTTAGGTCGTTTAAGGGGAGGTGGGACGTTAATTGCAATAAAAAATACTTTTATCGTTACCGAAATTAACTTTAATAACATACAAAATATTGTTGGTTCTATTGACATTGTCGGTTGTAAAGTTCCTATAAATAACAAAACAACGCTGTATATTATTGTATTGTATATTCCTCCTGATATAAACTTAGGCGAATATGAACTTTTCTTTGATCTGCTGGGCACATTGATAAATGGGCTCGATGGGAACTTGGTACTTTTAGGGGACTTTAACACGCCAAATTTATTTAATAATAGTTTAGGTGATAGAAAAAGTTTTGTAATAAACAGTTTTTCTAATTTTTGTAATATAACTCAACATAATAACATAACAAACAGTTTTGGAGGAATCTTAGATTTAGTTTATTCAGATGTCGATTTAGTGGTAACGCATGATGTTAGTCCTTTGGTAAGGGTTGATCAATACCATCCCCCTATTAACATAAATCTTAGTGTTAGTATAGCACAAAAAATAGTTTTCCCTATGAATGATACTAGTAAACAATTTAATTTCAGAAAAGCCAACTTCCCTCTACTTTATAATTACATCCTAAATATAGATTGGAATACTTTAGAAAATATTAATAACATTGATTCTGCTTGTGATTACTTTTATCAAACGCTATATAACGCTTTTCAATCACACATGCCATTAAAGCCAAATAATAAACATTTAAATAAATACCCTCCATGGTTTAGTTCTAACATAATATTTAATATAAATAAAAAGTTAAACTATCACAAAAAATTTAAACAAACTAATAAACTTATTTATCTCGAACTATTTAAGAATATTAGATCATTGATTAAACGTCAAATTAAACAATCATATAAAGAGTATATTGCTAAAATTGAACATAACGTTAAAAACGATCCAAAATCCTTTTGGTCATTTGTTCAAAGTAAGAAAGGGTGTACTAGAATACCTAATAGTATGCATTATAATGGAAACTCAACCACCAATCCTGATGATATTGTGAATATATTTGCTACCTACTTTTCAAGTGTATATCAATTACCGAATTTAAATAATACTGACGAACAGTTTTGTTCAACAAATAATATTAAAGTGGATCCAATAACTGAAACTGAAATTTTAAATGCAGTAAAAAAGCTAAGCAACAAGTTTACTTGCGGAGTTGATTATATTCCAAGCTTCATTGCTAAGGATTGCAGCGTTGGACTATTGAAACCGTTACTGTATCTATTTAACCTAATTTTACGTACCGGTAAATTTCCCAAAATTTGGAAAACTTCAAAAATTGTTCCGGTCTTGAAATCCGGTGATTCTTCTAACGTTGAAAACTATAGGCCAATTGCTATACTTTGTAATTTTGCAAAATTGTTCGAGAGTATTATTTATAGAAAAATATACTTCCAGTTAAGTCATATAATATCAAATCAACAACATGGTTTTGTTGAAAAACGGTCAACGGTCACCAATTTAACATTGTTTACACAGTTTGCCAGTAATGTGCTTGATAATCATGGACAAGTGGATGTAATCTATACAGATTTCCAGAAAGCCTTTGACCAAATAGATCATAATAGACTTCAGATTAAATTAAAAAAAATCGGATTTTCTGACCATTTAATATTTTTCTTCATTTCCTATTTAACAGATAGAAAGTTATATGTTTCTTACAATGAGTTTTGTTCTAAACCGTTTACTCCAACATCAGGTGTTCCACAAGGATCCAATCTAGGACCACTACTTTTTCTTATCTTCATCAACGACCTACCAGACATTTTAACAGCTTACAATTTACTATTTGCTGATGATCTGAAACTCTACTTAGAAATCAAAACTGTTGATGATTGCATTAAACTGCAAAATAATTTGAATAATCTATATAATTGGTGTATCATAAATAACCTTCATTTAAATATCAATAAATGCAAGAGTATGATATATACAAAGAAAAAGCATAGTATATTGTATAATTATGAAATCAACAATAGGCGTTTAGAACAAGTTACAGAATTTAAAGATCTGGGAGTTAGGTTTGATACGAAGCTGAATTTTATTAATCATATCAACGCGGTAGTAAACTCATCTTTTAGAATGTTGGGTTTTCTCATTAGAAATACCAAGCAATTTATAAATGAAAGCTCATTAAAAATGCTGTATTTTGCATTAATAAGGTCAAAGATGGAATATGCTTCCATAATCTGGTATCCAATCTATCTAGTCCATATAACAAGCATTGAAACTGTACAACGCAAATTTTTAAAGCTCTTACATCTTAGAATATATAATGAATATCCAACTCAGGGATTTGACCATGATTTGCTACTATCGACATTTGAATTTAAATCTCTAGAAAAGAGAAGGGTTATTGCATCAATTTCATTTTTGTTTAGGTTGCTTAATTCTCAAATTAGTTGTAGTGATTTGCTTTCTCAGATTAACTTTTCGGTGCCAAGATTGACTAGCAGAAATAAAATTACTTTTCTTCTAAGCTTTAATAGAACTAATTTGGGACTTAAGTCGCCATTATTTGTGATGTGCAGTAACTTTAATAAATTCTGTGAATCTTGTGATATAAACTTTAATACGCTTAGCCATATAATTAAATGTTAGTTAGCATCTTTAAATGTTGCACACATAATCTGTTGTTTAGGTTTATCTATATATTTTTTTATAATTTGAATACTATATAGTACGCATGTATCCTATTTAAATGTCCTGTAATGGTTTAAACTGTTGGGCAATAAATAAATTATTATTATTATTAAAAATATAATCTGATAACATTTGCTTTTGTCCGCATCGCTATATCCGCGAACACTGGTTGGTTGTGTTTTATATCCGGTTAGTGCACCCCCGCAATCATCTGTAATCATCTGCTTTTAACCGTCTTCACTGGGTTTCGTTTATATCTGCATTTGTCCGGGATCATCTGCGAACGTTTGGTTTTATCCGCGATTACCTGCATTTTTGCGGATAAAAGCAGATGTTTGCGGATTAAAACAGATGCATGCGGATTAAAGCAGACGTTCACAGATGAAAGCAGATCTTCGCGGATAAAATGTTTGCAGGTAAAATCGGAAAAAGCAGACTTTTGCGGATTAAAGTAGATGAATCCAGATGTTTGCAGGTGAAACAGATAAAAACAGATAAAAACAAATGTTTGCGGATTAAAGAACACGTTTGCGGATGAAAGTAGATCTTCGCGTATAAAAGCAGATGTTTGCAAGTGAAATAGGATGAAGCAGATGTTTACGGATTAATGCAGACCTTCGCGGATAAATACAGGTGTTGGCGGATGAAAGCAGATGTTTACGAATTAAAACAGATTAAAGCAGACGTTCACAGATATAAGTAGATCTTTGCGGATAAAAGCAGATGTTTGCAGGTGAAATCGGATGAAGCAGTATTTTGTGGACTAAAGTAAATGTTTGCGGATTGAAGCAGACGTTCGCGGATGAAAGTATATCTTCGCGTATAAAAGCAGATGTTTGCCAGTGAAATCGGATGAAGCAGACGTTTGCGAATTAACATAGATGTTTGCGGATGAAATCAGACGTTCGCAGAAGGAAACAAGATGTTTGCGAGTGAAACCGCATTAAATCAGATAATCGCAGATGAAACCGGACGTAAGTAGGCAAAGAAGTACATGAAGGCAAACGCAGATGAAACCGGGTAAAAAAACGGACGAAAGCAGGTATTTGCAGATAAACCCGGGCGAATGCAGATATAAACTCAAATACAGGTATTTGCGGATGAAAACAGAAAGCAGACATAAAACTAAATAGATCAAACCCAACGTTCGCGAGTTATATTTATACCCGCAATTGCGGATGAAAACCACCTGACGGGTAAAATCAGATATATCGGATGAAAACAGATATAATTAGACATAAAACTAGCTTGGTTTTTCATTCGCAATCATCAAATATTACCCGTCTATTTCACCAGGAAACCCGTTAATTAGGATGTACTCTTTAATCAACGATTGGGACAAAAAATTGGTAATTTTGTTTAAACCGGCCATGACGCCTCCCATGCGCCTCAATGCAATCTTCCGTGTGATTCTCACTTCCCCTAATTTAACCCCACGAAAAAGAAAATAATTTGTATATGTGGGTTGAACTTGGTTTAAATGGCCAACAGCGACGGTTCATCTTTTGATTCAGTTTAAACCAAATTTAAGCTTGAACTTTGATTGAATGCTGAACCAAGTTTAAACAAGAACTAAAAAACCGCCCCTTAGTAAACTTCCTCTACTATTTCAAGTCTTTAATAGTCTAATATTATTTTTTGAGAAAGCACAACTTAAAAAAAAATAGGTAACTTTTGTTCGTAAAATTAATACAATTAATACAAAGAAGGTTTTCAATATGTAGAGATCTTACACTACCACCGTTACCCACCGTTTTTTTTTTTAATTAATTTTGTAATAGCAAAAATATTATTGTTTAAGTGAAAAAATTATACACAAGAGGAACATTAGTTCGGTCAATATATTATGTTAGTTAAAAAATATTTTTTTAGAAGTGAAACTTGAATTCTCTGCAAAAAAGTACTTATTAATTAACGCATAAATATTGTGGTTTCAGAAATAATTAAGATAATTGCGATTTTATATTAAAATTTTCATTTTTATAACTGAAATCGTAATTATATTTGAAACTATAATATTTATGCGATAATTGAAAAGGATGTTTTTTGTACACAATTAAATTTACTTAAAAACACAATTAGACAGGAGTCTACTTAAGGGTGTATGTCAATAGATATATTTTTAAGAAGGTCTAAAACCGAAAGGTGAAGCCATTTGTTGGGTAGTGTGTGGGATCTAGTGGGTATGCCGTACACAATTAAAGTCGCCGATATAATCCGCCAATGTTGTACCGTTTGTATTTCTCCTATGACAATTTCATAGGGTGCTTACAGCAAAAAGGTCTCCTAAAAGAAGGGCCTTGTTAAAATTTCCAAGTTAAGGTTTCCAAGTCTGATTCGGCGAACCTGTTTAGGACAGATTATATGCGGCAACCAAGTGAATATTGCTAAATTTAATAATTAGTTGTTCTATGGTAGATTGTCTGTTTCCAATTCTCCACTTCTGTGAGCATTAGTCCTGTCGATGGATGCTGTAACCCTTGATTTTAAATTTATCATTTGGCCTCACTAATGATTAAAATGTCTATTTTATATTGATTTAAGAAATATATGATTGAAGGTATTTTCTTTTTTATAGAATTTGCATTCCAAAGTATTATTATTAGTTTCCTATTTAAATATTTTAGTTCTGCAATTCGTCGTTGACGACGCTTGCAAACACAACAAACCTTTCAGTCTTTGTGTTGACATAAAGCATTTTATTTTTGAGATCCCTGACTCCGCGCAGCATCTCTTACATATTGGCAGCCAAACTCTAAAATCAAGGTATTGAAATTATTAAGGGAATTGCTATCTGTGCGTGGCTTATCTTTGCCTTCCGTGATAGATGTAGTTGGATGCTGCTAATGTTGCTGTTGGCGTTTTGGTAGCTGTTAAAGTTTTTTGGTTTCTCAGGCGTTGTCCCGAGGTATTGCGTCTGGTACATATCTTGTCTGTCTAGATTTCAACATTCGCACCCTGTGCTTTTGTAAAACCAAGAAATTGAGAAGTTTCACCATACTTGAAGAAGGATTTCCAGTCAACCCGATCAATTTGTGTAAAAATACATGTCTTTGAGACCAAAGAATATTAGTTATTTTTTACAAAAATGGGAGGTGTACCAGCCAGTGTGTGGGAAAAAAAACGTTGTCGAAGATACCTTCAAGAATTGCAATGTTTTTGAAATTGGAGGAACCAGCGCTCTACACCGGTCATTGCCTGAGAAGGTCTTCGGCGACTCTTTTGGACAATGCAGGGGCTAACATGACTACTTTGAAGCGTCACGGAGGATGAAATTCCTCGACGGTAGCAGAAGGATACCTAGAAGAATCGGTGCATAACAAAATACAAATTGCAGAAAAAATACAAGGTTCTAATGCGTCGGCGTCTTCCAGCACTATCAGCAGCTGTACCGATATGGGAGCTTCTGGTTACAATGAACCAACGAATTTTACAATGACTTCAAATTCGAATAAACCGTTATCGTTTTCCATTAATTTCAATATCAATGTGAATTCTGCTTGTAATAGTAATAAATAAATAGAATACTACTTTAAATATGAACGTGAGTTATAATCCATAACTCACTAGTGAGTTATGGAATATTACACACTAGTGTGTTATTTGATAGTTTACTTGTCTAAATTGACATTAATAATGACAGTGCTAACTGTCATGTGTTGGATAAACAAACTAATACCTCCCTTTAGCTAAATTATACTGTTACCGAACTATAAAATAACCGGGAATTTATTGTTTGGGCAAAGTTTTTAATTTTATTCCATTTTTAATAGGGTTAACCCTTATTATGAAATAAAAATGGATTTATTATTAATATTTTGTTGTTTTTTAGAATGGAATATTTAGGGCAAGAAAACCGCTGCTTCACGCTGCATGCGAGAGGGGGGCATGGCGTTGCACACAGCTATTGGTGACTGAACGAACTGACGAAATACACATTTGTAAAGATGAATATTATCCAGTACATTATGCGGTGCTACATAACGTTAAATTTCTTGAATTGTTAATAGCAGCCGGTGCTCACACCAATGTTAAAACTTGTACTCAACAAATGACTCTTCTTCATGTGGGTAAGTAGCTAGTAGTAACTTTAAACCTGTCAATTCTAGACTGTGGACTTTTTTTAATTTGCGAAAGGTGCTAACATTTTTGAACATATTACTATCATTACTATAATTGCATTTACGTTATTATTTCTTTTAGTATTATTGGTGGCACATAAAAACGCAGAAGACACGATATCCACAATTCGTTTGCTATTAGAAAGTGGATGTAAGGAGCTGATTAATACCCCAGACAGTTTGGGTAACACTCCACTACATGCTCTTGTAGTACGTTATGCCCTCGAGGAGGCACAATATGGCTACGACAAATGGAACAAATGGGATGTTTTGTACTTGGTGAGATATTTAATGCAGTACGGTGCCAAACAATCCATAAATCATGTGGGAAATTCTGCAGTGGCATGTGTTTTAAGGCATATCCGCGACTGGGATGTTTGTTATGAGTTGCTTAATATGTTATTACATGAAGGAGGTAAGTAGTTTTATCCTGTTTTGTTAAAATCAATTTAGAATTTAAGGTTGATTATCTGTGCAAAGGCATTAAATCAATATCATATTTTTTAAATAAAAAGTTTTTGTTTTTATTTAAATATTTTATAACAATATACATATTAGGTTTGTACAATTTAACCGGTTAAGCCGTCAAAAAAAGTTAGCTAAGTTATAACTGATCAGGTTAGCTAATTTAAGCGGTTAACTAAAGTAGCTTAGCTAATTAGCTGGCGCCTTAACCGGTTAATCCAGCTTAGCTCAGCTAATTAGCCAACGGCTAACCGGATAAACAGCTAATGTTTTTAAAGCTATTTAATGAATTCTTATTTACGGACAGGTTCAAAAAATAATATTATTATTTTTTTATTATAAAACAAAGACGGTAATATTTTTCGAAAAATTTGGCGCTTGTGCCATTTTGCGTTAAACCCGTCGTTATATATGCATTTCCTTTTAAAATATACAACTTTTTTGACTCATTCATGTGCGCTGGATATGAGACGCATATGTAAGCGCATCTGTGTAGTGATCTGCGCGCACGCGTGCAGTTTAAAGACGCACGCGTGCACTCACTGTGCGCGCATCGTGTCCGCATTTTGCTATCTGGGAATCATTGAATAAAAAATCAATCATTCAGCAGTAAGTTTCATTTTTGCTAAAGTTAATGTTAATGTGTTGCATAAAAGCTTCCATTGGATTACGTTCATTTAACTTCTTAATGTTAATGTTAATCTTAATCTTAATGTTAATTTGTGCTGCATGAATCCAGCATAAGATTTAAAAAAATTATACAAAAATATGAGGTTAATTATTTACGTTCTCATGAGGACGTATAATTTTAAAATGCAATAATAATTATATGGTTCCATTTGAAAAACCCAAAGTTGATATCACTTCCGGTTTAAACGGAAGTGGTAACGCATGAACAATAATTTAAAAAATAGTTTACATTGCCTTATAATTGCTATACAAATTTCAAATCGATATCTTTTTCCTTTCTCAATAAATTCCTAATGAATAAGTTAGGTGAATTACCACGTTTACCAAATTCAAAAGTATTTCATGTTTTGATATCGAACTACACCCTGTATATAAATCCTAGAGATTAACCAAATATTCTGGAACACCTGTACATGGATTTATTTCGTTTTATTTCATTTTTTCTATAGTTAGTGCGGATTTTGTCCTTTATAAATACATCACGATAACTATAGTTATTATAATTGACATTGCCACATCCATTTAAATTTAATGCAAATATATGATAAAACAAGTAAAGCGTTAAATCATTAATTTCGAAAAATTGATTATGATAATTGTTTTAGGAGATCCAAATATGGTTGGTAGAGATGGATCTGTACCTTTAATGGTTTGTTTAGTGCCATTAATAAATAAAGATCCTTTACATCATTTTACTCACAGTATGAAAGTAAGTAATTTATCACCATCACTTTTAAAATGGATAATAAATTCAAACTTAGTATACAGGGTGTCCCACGGTCACCAGATTTACCTAAAATCAGGCAATATTTATTTAGTCTTTCTCACGTGTATACGTTTAAATATTATTTGCATCTTGTATGCAAACGTAATGCAAACGCGTTGTATTGCACGCATTTGCACATATATACATAAATGTTCTATATATGTTCTGCTTTCAAAGACAACAGAAAGAATAGGCAAAGTTCTCTAAAAACATTGAGACCACATTTACCGCCCCAAGAAAGATCGGTCAAATACTTCCAAACGCCAAACCAAAAATAGAGTTGGAAACCCCTTGTTTACGAAATTCCCTGTAAGAATTGTGACGGAAGCTACGTGGGAGAGACCAATAGCGATCAAAGCTGTGGTGAACGCTATGCATGCTACACTAAGAAAAATATTAAAATAGCAAATGAAGAACAAGAATAGAAAGAATACCGTATTCAAGCTGAATTAATTGAAAAATTAAGAGATAAGAATTCTAAAACTCTTCAAGAAAAAAATAGTTTGTTAGAAAGAATGAATCTTCAACCACAAAAAATAATTATAAGTCAATCCACAGATAACTTTATTACTAAAAGTGAATTTGAAAACTTGATAAGCAAGCAACAAGTGTTAAGGCCAAACTACCAAAGCCCGGGTCATCTCCTGAAAGCAAAAATAAAAATAAATTAATTCAACTGGAAAATAAACAACTCGAAATCATGTCTGAAATTAATAATTTAAAAGTCCAGGAAAAAAAATCCTTTTGATTGGCAAGTTAAGGAAAAAAAAGGAAGGCAAAAATAGAGCGATAACAAAACCTATTATTGAAAGTTACATACATGAATATTATTCATAGAGGATATTTTGTTTGCCAAAAAAATGCATTGGAATAATTTTTGGAGTAAAAAAAACTATATATTTTTAGTCTTTTTATTTTTAAGACGGTTTTGTCCGTGAAAAAAATATAAATCTATTTGAAGTATATAAAAAAGGGATTGTTATGAAACCAGATTTGTATCAAATTATTCAGTCAATAAACTAAATTTTATCATCTTTATGATAATGTTCCAAATTCTACTACTAATATTTTAATGATCTCCATTAATATTTTTTGTAATTTTATGTTTAGTAGTATATGGAACGCATTTATTTATAAATTATTTGTCTTTTTTTAAATTTTATTTTTATTTTTTTATTTTATATTTGACGTGTTTCACACCTGTTTGGTATTTTTTAAACAAATAAAGATTATTATTATTAATATAAAGGTAAAGAAGTATACATAGAAGCCGAATTGACAACTAAGGAAAGAAAAATACAAAAAGATATAAGAGACCTAGCAAGAGAAGAAAAAAGTAAAGGCAAAAGAGTTAAAGTTGGATTCCAAAAACTGCAAATAGAAAATAGAACCTTAAAATGGTGCAGCACAAAGCAAACTTTGGAAGAAGAAAAACAGGAAATAGAGGAAGACAGCAGCCCACCTGTATACGATAGAGAGTCAAAAAACTAATAGCACCCAACAACAAAGCAGATCAGAAACGGACCGAGCAAAGAAAAAGGACAATGAGCATAGATAATAAAGAAAATAAAGGTAAAAATAAAAAAAAAGATTAAAAAAAGAAATAGATTACTAATTGCAACATGGAACATAAAAACAATGCTAAGGACAGGAAAAATGGAGGAAATATACCGCGAGATGAACAAATACCATATAGAAATACTAGCGCTACAAGAAACAAGGTGGAAAGAGGAGGGTAAAATCGAAAAAGAAAATTATACGCTATATTATTCCGGAGAAAAAAAACAAGGCCATAATGGCACGGGCTTTATAATAGGAAAAACCCTTAAAAATAAGGTACTAGAGTTTAAAGCTATAAATGGAAGACTTTTATATATAAGAATTGAAAATAAACAAGCAAACATCAGTATTATAAACGCCTACGCACCCACAGAAGATGCAGAAGAAATTAAAAAGAACGAGTTCTACGAAAACCTAGAAAATACATACGAAATGAAATGACATAGTTTTTCTGGTTGGAGATTTTAATGCAAAGATTGGAAAAGAAAATCATATCACCAATGTGGCAGGCAAGGAAACTATACACACTAACACTAACGACAATGGATTAAAACTTTGCAACCTAGCCGAAATGACAAACTCATTTATTGTAAGCACAAGCTTTAAGCACAAAAAACCACACAAAATTACTTGGATGATACCAGGATCCACAGAAGGCAACCAAATAGACCACATATTAATTTCTAGAAAATGGAAAGGAATAATTCATGATGTAAGATCATACAGAGGCACAAACGCGGACACAGACCACACATTAGTAATAGCGAAAATTAAACTGAAAATAAATAAAGGATACTTCTTAAATAAATAGCAGAAAATGGGAAATAGACAAACTAAAAGACGAACAGGTAAATAGAAAATATAAAGAGAATATACAAGAAAAGCTTCAAGCAAACAACACAGCAGATATAGAAGAAGAATGGAGAAATATAAAAAGTTGCATTTTACAAGCAGCAGAGACGACAATAGGAAAAAAGAAAAGGATTAAAATGAAGACATGGTTTGACGAAGAATGCGAAAGAAAAATAGAAGCAAAAAACACTGCCAGAAAAAAATGGATAAACACGGAAAGACCCGAAGAACTGGAAGAATATAGAAACAAAAGAAAAACAGCAAATGCATGCTGCAGGAGCAAAAAGGAAAAATGGATCAACGAAATAATGACTGAAATAGAAAATAATAAAGACAGCAAAAAAACCTACAATACTATAAAAAATCTATACAAAATAAAGAAACCAACCGCAAAAATAGATGATAAAGACTGGGAGATACACTTCAGAAAACTATATAGCAAAAATGAAGGCGAACAAAGGGCAGAAACTGAAGAAGAAATAGTAAACAACAACGAAGAAATACCACCGACGTACGAAGAATTCAAGAAAGTAGTAACACAACTTAACAAAAATAAAACATGTGGACCAGACGAAATCAATAATGAACTAATAGAGCAAGCAGGGGAGACAATTCTTAAACGACTACACAACTTAATAACAGAGATATGGATCCAAGAAACTATGACATTAGAATGGAGAACAGGTCTATTAACTCCAATACACAAAAAAGGAAATCAAACAGACTGCAAAAACTACAGAGGAATCATGTTACTGAACACTGCATATAAGATATTAACAAACATAATAAGATTAAGACTGGCAAAATACACAGAACAAGAAATAGGGGAATATCAGAATGGGTTTAGAAAAGAAAGATCGACAACAGATGCAATTCACGTAATGACTCAGATACTAGAAAAAAGCTACGAACACAACATAGAACTCCACATCATATTTATAGACTTTAAACAAGCATTCGACAAAATTATACGGACAAAATTAATAGAAGAGATAAAAAAAATGGGCAAAAATTACTGAAGACGCAAAAAAACACAACAAACTTTAACAAGAAGAAACATAAATAAACAAAGGACTGATTCACCGAAAGAATCATTAAACTCCTAACGGAGTGACTTCTATCCCTCGGGATGTACAGTCGTTATATATATTATTAATATACATAAGTCGCAAACTACCTTGAAGATGTATAATCTACGGACCCAAAGGAATCCCGGAAAATCCAGCTTCTTTGTTTAAAAAGGTACATTCATAATTTTAATTATCATGGCAACAAACAAAATTATTAAAAAGTGTAAAATTCGTTACTTTTACTTAGAGGTATTTCCATTGTAACGGGTGCGACACAATGCGTTTTTTCATGATAATAAATTGTTTGTTCATATCATTCATATCATTGTATATCAAGATACGTTAATATAAAAAAATAGTATGAAAAATTAGATATTTAACTCAAACTAAATGTCAATAAAAACTTGTATAGAAAACCGTTTATAACGTCATGAATAGCGCGACCTTAGAAAATCGGCAAAGGCGACCAAGTTGGCTTCTAAAGTTGATACTGTATAATTTTTGATGGTTAAACAAGCACGTATTTAAAACGTCAATTTTTTTATAAAAGACTGCATTTTATGAAAAACTAAATCATATTTATTATAAATAAAATCTATTTATTATAAACAATTGAAAATTAATTTAAGTGCGCCTAAGGAAATAATGTTTTTTTATATTTACAAAATCTTCCAGTTTCATTGCCGAACAGTGTACTAGAATAAACATGCCTCTAGAACAAACAAGATATGGCTTGTTGAAATTTTCAGCAAAATCAGAAATCACTTTTAAACCGAAGACCTGAGAAAAATTTTGATGGCAGATCCCGATTTGATTTGAAAAACGCTCCCTGCCCTTATGTCGATCTTACTGTAGAACATCCTGTATAATAAAGTAAAAGTAAAATATATCTATCTTCTTATATAAAATGTATGGCGTAATGTAGCACAGATTTCAAAAAATAAAAAACAGTTATTGTTTTTTAAAAGTTTTAATAAATATTGTTAAATACAAGTTTTATTGTATTTTAATTTAAAACTGAATAAATTTAGACCAATTTTGTTTGCTATATTAAAACCTAAACATAAAATATTGGTGGTATTTTAATAGAAAATCATTTCGCGATACTTTAATATTAGTTTATATTTAACAATTTGCTTGAAAGAATTGTTCTGGAGCATCAAAAAATACTAACATTGTTTAAACCATTTAGTTAGTGTGCTCAGAACTATTTTTTTAGTGGGCTCAGAAACATTCTGCTGCGCTAGATTTAAACAACTATACTAAAAAAATGATACCTCGAAATTTACAGGTGTTTAAACAATGTTTTTCATCAAATTGTTATAAATAGGCAAAAAAAATAAAATAATATTAAAGTAGCAGCAAACTAAAAATATTTGTATGGGCCGCCCATAATGGGCATTATGGTTCTGAAAATTTCATTATTTTTCAAATCGTTTTTTCTATTGTAATGACACTATTTCATCGTTTTGTATTAGACTATTTTTTATTTTCACTTTTTACAAATATACTGACTAAATGTTATACTTTTTTTGCAGGTATGTTATTTAAACTGCATCAGGATATTATTAAAAGGAGGAGCCAACCCTAACTGCAGTTATCGCTCTAACCTGACCCCTATACATGTCCTTGTGTTTACCGTATCAGAAAATATTACATTAAACATCGACAGTCAGAAAGAAGTTAACTTCGAATTTATTAAAAACTTGTTAATTTTATTGTTGACCCATGGACTCGACCCGAACGTTCGTATTAGTACGCGAACTCAGCATATTCTTCAGTCTTGCATGGATATGGTTCAAAACGTGAGAGATTGTAAGGACATTCACTATGTTCACGACTTGACTCTCACTTTAATACAGTATGGAGCAAATCCCGATTTAAGTCTAAACATGTCGGAAGCAATAAAAAACCATCCTTTAAATTCTCAAAGCATATGGAAAACAAAAAATTACATCCTTTACTATTATATAATGTTGGTGAGTAGGAAAGAAAATATCGTCACAGATCCAAAAATGCGTTTCGCAAAAATAGTGAATCTCTTCTACTTGGTGATGCAGCATAAACCTCTGTTCGAATGTCTTAGGATTCTCTATACTCAACAGCTTAGTCTTGTACCTGGAAAACTTACTGAACCTTTAACATTTATCATCAGGGATTTGTACAAAAGACCCAGAACATTAAAACAAATTTGTCGCGTTAAAATTCACACCTGTTTGGATCGGCGACCCGGTCTATTTATTAATAAATTAAACTTACCGAATCAACTTAAGGATTATATATTGAACTTTGAGCCTTAAACTTGAGACTGTTATAAATGAAGATTAAAAAAACAATTACAAATCTGGATTATATATGAGTTATTATTTATTGATCTAAGAATATAAGGACTAGGTTTAATAATATAAAAAAATCATTATCGCATTATGCATCTACTAAGTTTGTAAATATAAGTATTATTAAAATAGTAAGTTTCATTAGGAGTCCCGAATATATGCTTATACTGTTCTAATGGTAATCGTGTTATCATAGTTACAGCCACTATATTATTATTATTATTATTATTATTATTATTTCGGACGTTTAATGAATGATTTTTCATTATACCTCTTTGTATCCAATAGTATATTTTAAAATGTTAAAAATGTTGAATAATTGTCATTGATAATACGATCCACACTCACTAATTGGTTCTGTCTATTGATTATTATCTCCCTTAAAATGAAATAGTCAAAAATAACCAATTATAAGTCATATTTGACTAGTCATAGCGAAAAAGTAGTTACTAATAATTAGTCAAATTCAACTGAATTAAATAGTCAATAGTACAAAATCATCGCTCCTACGGTCGAGACGTGCTAGTTTCTCCGCTCTATAAACAAGTATACATTGCATACTCAGTGCATTTTTAAACCTAATCTAAAAGTTTAAAAGCGTAAAGTGAATTGCCACCCCACCTGTCGGAGTCACGGAACCACCCATCTGAAGAGGTAGGTAGTTCATCGAGGCATGAACCTGGAAGAGACCAATTACAAGGGGACATGGAGCCATATTCAGATAAGTTTTTTAATATTTGCACGTCGTTATTTGCGTAAATAAGAATTCACCGAGCCTGCTGGTGTGTTTATACTTTACCAAGTGATAAATCCGTAGAAATCAACAAGAAAGAATAAAATAGTTAAAAATTCAATTTTCTTAGTATCTTTAACAAACTTTCTTGACCAATTAATGGTAATATTCATAAAACAAACACCGTCGGTATTTGAAGTTGGTGGAACGCACTCAAGACAAAAAACTTTGGCGAGGTGTAGGTTAAATGTTTTTCTAATAAAGGGGTAACGAACCCCTACATTAAATAGACCAAAGATACCGAATTCACAGGCAGTTCGACTTAAAAGTAAAGCAAGTTCGACTTAAAACCAGATAATCCGCCTTATAGGACGTGACAAGTAGTACTTAATAAACACAAATCAAGACAAGGATGTCCAAGTAACGTACTAATAACCCATGCCTCATTCATGAACCCCAATTGAATGGGGTCATTACTAATACCCTTGTTGAGGGGGAGTCCGGATTGTACTTAGTTTTGGGTCAGTCCAAGGCCCCCGAAAACCAACTGTTGTCCCTCCTTGTCCTATACATGGCCTTAACCATCAATACTTTTACTTCTTTCGAACTTTGCTATTCAGTCAGAGATTTATATTGGCGAGCGGGAAGAAATATTTTAGAGAAATTGAATATATTATGCAGTAAAAACCCAACCCAACTTAACCCAACCATTAAATAAATAACAAGTGTTTGTTAATTTAATTTTTGTTTGCAGTTTTTCTTTTCTAAAAACAAAATTTAGTCTTTCAATTTTACATTTGTTTCGTAAATTAATATTGCGCACACTACCTAGTCAATGTGAGAAGTAAAATCCTTTAATCCCTGGATTGACTATCGCATCAGACATTTTGCAGATTGTAGTAAATTCGCAGATTTCCCAAAATGCTAGTGATTTTGCACAATGTCTGGTAAATTGGTCTGTTTGCGGAGTATCTAGACATTTCGCACATTGCCGGATTTTTTACTTTGCCGTGCTCAACAAACTAGCATCAATATTGGGCAATTTTACGTCGATTACTATAAAAGCCACTACTTCATAGTTCAGGTACTTCTCCAGTTCTTTACCAACAACACTTTAAAAACTTTTCGGCCCTGTTGTTGTACCATCGAGGTATGTGAAGAGATGGTAATTCGTTTGCATGTAGTAAACAGACAACCCACTGTAAAGGGCGACCAAGTACAGTATGACGCCGTTTTTATGTCCTGTAATTACCGCGGTACCATCACATCCTATTACAACCAAAAATGTTCGAAATTTATAATACTTGTCCAAATATTCAATCATGTGATTCTGAATTGTTATTTCGTTTCCTGAGTGAACTGAAATATTGCCAATGTACTCAGACCCTGGCTCTGATATTAAGGAAATGTGTTCTTCTGTAATGCGCTTCCGGCGTAATTTACTTCGATCTATTACTCTAGATACAGCTTCTTTACTAATTATATTTAAATCCAGTAATGCCGCGTTTACTATCCGATCGATCAGTTCTATCACAAGCGGAGGCTAAATTTAGTAGCCTACTCCGCATTTGCTTTGTTTCGATCTTCTCGGTGTCATTTCAGATAGTTCTGAGTCAGTTAATTCTGAAGAACTCTCTACATCTTGCACAAGTGAATGCACAACTGAAGAAGAAGAAGTATTTGGAGTATCGAGTTTTCAGGAATTCCTCATACTTTCTTTTCCTATTTTGCGCAGTAGGGACTTCATACTTTATGTAACAGAAATTTTAACAGAACATTTGAACTAATTCTATGAATCTCATTTACAAAAAGCAATATATCAAATAGTTTTTTGGAGCCATCGCAGAACAACTTCTTTTTACATCATTACATCACGCCCTTGTACTTGTTGTAATATGAAATCAACCTCGCCACAACTTGATGGCTAACAATAGAAATCAAAAATGTATTTCATGTTTTCTCACAGGAAATAATTTCACATCTTTTATAGCAGGGCCTTTCCACCATTTAATTCAAGCAAATCATTTCTGACCAACAAATAATATTTAATTATAGCATTATATGTCGGTAATAGTTTGATTTTTCTCCCAATAAATTAAATCAACGATAATTGTACATTATACCGTACCTTCATTTGCAAGCTAACCATAGGGAAAATACATTGTAACTGGACCAGATAAGTCTTAGTCAGCACGAAGCGAAAAACGTTGTAGAAATGATTTGGACGCGTGGACGAGTAGGCTAGCATGCGCCGTAACAGTTGACCTTGCTTCATACATCGATGCTTTATTATTGTTTTTTATTTTGTGCGGTGTAAATCTGGTAAAATTTGTTTTAGTACGCATGTCTCGACGACGCATCCAAATCATTTCTGAAAAGGTTCTCGCTTTGTGTTGACTGCGACTTATCTGGTCCAGTTACAATGTATTTTCCCTATGGTTAGCTTGCAAATGAAGGTACGGTAGACCAGGCACATATTATTGTGTGCGAGCTTTCGCCGCCGCGGCCGGTTATATATACTATTTGTTTCAAGCATTTTTTTAATTCTGCCAATCCTTTTTAAGTTAAGTTCAACTGGCATGATAACATTTTAGCTTTATTTCTAACTTGACTATTGAACTAGTGTTAGTAGTAGTACGGTTGGGTAGGCTCGAAGCCTGACAATTAGACTCCATGGTCCTTTTTATCTGCCCCTCCTAAACCAACCAGACTACTCCTCATCTTCCTCTTCGCCCATACCAGCCCTTTCGAATCTTCCAGACCTTCTTATAAAGGTCAGGATATCCTGCCAGGCAAGAGAGGCCAACTCTTCCCTTTGGAGTGTCATCACTCCAAAGATTTTATACCTTAGTCTGCCGAGGGCCTCACATTGTCCCAGGAAGTGAAAGGAGGTTTCATCCTCCCTTCCGCACTGGGTACAGGAGGGGCTGGTTTCAGCCCCTATTCTCGTGAGGTGTTTCCTTAGGCCATGACCCGTGAGTATATTCACAAGTGGGCCCAAGGAGATTCGGCTCCTACCTAGAAGCCAGATGGATTTGGGTTTGCTTAGGGTGACCAGAAAATCCCTGGTCTGCCTACAGCCACCGCTTCTTCTCCAGCTTTCGTTCGCCCTTTTATCAGCCCAATTATTTAGGGCTGATTTGACCTGCTTTCTCGTAATTCCAAAAATTGGTTCGGGTCCTACACAGGGGGTTTCAGATCCCAATCTGGCCAACTCATCAGCCCGTTCGTTACCCTCAACCCCACTATGACCTGGTACCCATACGAGATGCACTCTTTTTGTACTTGCTAGCTTTTCCAGCGCTTCCTCACACTCTTGAACCAACTTCGATGTGGTTCTCGCTGCCCAAAGCGCTTTCAGAGCTGCTTGGCTATCTGAGCAGATGTATATATCTGTCTCACTCCCTGTTCTTATATCCTCACAGTTTGCAACCTCAAGTATGGCAAACACTTCCGCTTGAAAGACAGTGGTATATCCTCCGAGCGGGTAGCTCCTTTGGATATCCCTGTCCTCCACGCAGAAACCTGCCCCTGAAGACAGTGTACTCGCCATACGAGAGCCATCAGTGTAGCACACTAGTGCATTTTGTGCAAAGTGTACATCCTTTTTCTCCCACTGCTCTCTTGTTGGTATCGTGAGGGAAAACTTCTTTTTTAAACTTAGGCGGTCTTTTGCTGGCATCGTTCTAATACAGCTAATTGGGACCTCCCTCTCAGCCATATCCGCGATGCCCTCATGACCATAAGTTATTCCTTTTCCTAACCAATTGTTGGCATCCCTCATCCTTAAATGGCTCGCCATTGCTTCTCTCTTTATCCAGAGGGAAAGACTAGGCAAGCTCAGCAAGGCCTCTAATGCCGTCGTTGGAGTAGTCCTCATTGCGCCTGTGATACCGAGACATGCCAGTCTCTGTATCTTGCTCAATTTTTGAGCGATGGTGGTTTTGCTCACACTGCGCCACCAGACCACTGATCCATAATGTATCCGCGGTCTGATGACAGCAGTATAAATCCAGTGAAGGACTTTGGGATTTACTCCCCAGCGTTTTCCCACCACCCGGCGCAGCTGCCAGAAAGTTGCAATCGATTTGTCAACAACTCTGTCGACGTGTGATTTCCAACTTAACTTCCTATCTAGGGTAACACCTAGGTACTTGACCTCTTCAGTAATCTCAAGAGGTCTTCCATACATGGCTGGTGCCCTGAAGTCCTGTATCTTCCTTCGTTTGGTAAAAAGAATCATGTCAGTTTTTGTTGGGTTAACCGACAGACCGTTTTCTTTGCACCAATTTTCTATTATTCTGCATGCTGTCTGCATTCTGTCGCAGACTACACCTAGAATGCCTCCTCTGATTAGGACTGTACCATCA